GAGGGAGCCCCGCGCGGGCAGCACCAGAACTGGTCGGTGATTTAGGTAGTTTCCTGTTGTTGGGATCCACCTTTCTCTCGACAGCACGACACTGCCTTCATTACTTCAGTTGAAATCGTCTCCAGGTACCTGTACGCGCGGGGGCCGGGCCGGGCGGGGCATCAAGGCCCCGGTAGTGCCAGGCCTGCGGTGGCAACCTCGGCATTTTCAGCGCAGGAGCCTCTCTTCTTCCTTAGCGCTGTGCCAGCCAGCAGGCCTCACCACTCCCCTAACAACACCTGGCCTAGAGCAGGTACCATCAGGTTAGTTGCTCCTTCGCGGATGCCGGGGGCGTGGTAAGAATTCTGGGCCCCGGGCCATTCAAGGTCAGGGGCGCTAGCTTCAATCCTGAGCTGCTCCTACTACAGGCCCGCGCCTGGCCTGGGACCCCCGCCATTCCCTTGCAAGGCTTGAATACACACACACTCCAATCTGGGATGTGAGCTCCGGAAAGATCCCTTTGCCAGTGGGAGAGCCACAGAGCCAGACCGAGATAGGAGGGATAAGGGTGGACAAGGGCTGGTATCCTAGCCTTGTCACTTAACCCTTCCCTCTGAAAATGCTCCCTCTGCTCCCAGGAGCCACCTCTGTCTTTTTTCTTCCTTCTTCCTTTGCTCCTTCTTCTTTTATCCTTTTATTTTCTTTGCTCTTTTCCCCCTCTTCCTTTCTCTTTATTTTTTCTTTCATCTTCTGTTTCTTTATCTGATTCTCAGTCTTGCTGCCTACTCTCCTTATAAAATCCTGGAGAAGAAAAGGGCTGGTTTGAGAGAAAGCCAGAGGTCTTATTTTTCTCTGGGCGCTTAAGTAAAGGTCGGAGTCTGAAGAGGAAGGGTTTGCGTGGGACCGCTGTCGAGGACGTGGGTTTGGCCTGATGTGCCTCTGTGCAGACAAGGCCTCGGTTACGATCACGACCGGCTGGCGGCGGCCTTGCGTTCCTTCTCCCTGTCGCTAACTGGCTGTCTGGGAGACCAGATTAGGGGGCACCCGCGGTGTCTTTGTGTGCCCACATCCAGGGCAAGGAGGCCTTCACCACCCTCACCCGGAACACGGGCTGAGGCCCAGCCAGACGTAGAGGAGCCAGACCACTCGGCTCCATCAGCTCCATGGGGAAGTTCCTTGCTGGCTCTGCCGGGCCTGCAGGTCCCATCTCACTCAGGCTTTGACTGTGATGGGGGAGCCTCGTTAGGGCAGAGTTTGACTGTTTGCTTGCCAGGGGCAGGCACTAGGTTCAGAATATGTTCGATCTGGCCACTTTGTACAACTGGGTGCTGGCGAAGAGGGCTCTTTGCAGCGCCAGTAGGTTCAAATAGGTGAAAGGAATCCTAAATTCTAGAGTCATCGAGATACAAACTTAAATCCTTGTCTTAAGCTAGAGGCTATGGATGAAAACCAGCTTTGACCATTCTCCCCACCGAAAACTGAAAATAATCCATCCCCCTTTCCTCCAAAACACTCACATAGCCTCCAGACTCAATGCTCACAGAGCTGTACTTCCCTTCCCAGCTCAGCTGAGGCCCAGGGATTGTTTTCATTGCTCCGTCGGCCAACCTGTTATCTGAAAGACCGGCACACCCGGTTCCCTTCAACTTCTCTCTGCTATTTTCCGGAGCAGTGTATTGGATTTATTTCAGAGGTTTATTTCAAGGTTTTTGGAAAATTCTCAGTCAGGAAGGGGCAGTTTGTAATTACACCCATTTATTATTTCTTTATGGACATGCAACCCCTTTAATAAAAGCAGAAGCAAAAGTATGAATATTCTGTTTCCAAACCTCTGGGCTCAAGAGGGCCAATATTTGGTTTTGTGAACCCCCCCCCCTTTTTAGGCACCAGTATCAGCTGCTTAACACTCAATGCTTGGTGATTGTTTAGTAATTCGCCTATTGTGGGATAAGGCTATTTAAAGCAACAGCTTTGCATTTATTTTAAAAATACTAACAATATATCCGTGTCTTCTCTGGGTACCAATGGAAAGGACAACCAAGCATGCTCTTCCATTTACAAACAGTTACAAAAAGGAGGGAAGTTTTCCTCCAGAGTTAAAATTTTAAATGGAAAATCGGAGTCCCTGTGGACTGTAGGACATTTAGGACACCTTGGGCTGTGATAGGGGTGGGGATGACGCGGAGGAATTTACACGGAAAGGAAAATATTAGGGGGGAGGGGGTTGAAGCAGGCGGGACAGGCCACGTCCCGAGTTCATTGTGTAGGCCACCTTTTTCAGCGCGGCTCGGAGCAGAGGAAGGGGCACACGTTTGGGATCTGCGTGGCTTCCCAGCCTCCCTCCCCAGTACAGACTAACAATTGAGGGTCTTAGCCTTTAAGGATAGGGATATGTTTTCATGATGGGTTTTGTTTTTTTTTTTTTTTTTTTTTTTTTGGAGGGAGGAGTACTCGAACTTTTGGTGAGAATGAAAGCCAAAAGTTAGAAATAAATGCCTGAGGTCGCCAGCCTTGCTGCCAGTGAAGTGGACTAATGAGAAACACACTTCCAAGCATAGTGTTCACACGTGAATTTAATTACCCCATTTTAGGAGTCGCTACTTTCTGTTTGGAATTGTGATGGGTTTTCCTTTTACCTTTTCTTCCAAAAAAAGCAATAGAGGCTGCGGCCTTTTCATTTGCTTTCACCCCCAAAGACTCCAAGGGGTGAGAAATAATCTCCCCAATTTGATCAGGTCAAAGGATGAGATTAAAGTCAATGCCCTGTGCCCGATGCCCCGTTTTAATTTCTAGTCCTGGACTTGAGCTGCGGCCGCCTTGCTTTGGGCCTTGTAACTCTATAAAGTTACTCGGTTCGGTCGGTAACCGAGGTTGGGCACCGGGTGAAGGCCAGAAGGGAGGGAAGAAAGGATCCCTGAAGGGCATTCATACTGGGTACAGGACCTTTTATTCCAGTGCGGGCTTCCCAGTCACTGGAGCCTGGAATGTCTTAGGCGGGACTGCCTTTTAGCAAGCCGAACTCCCCTTCTATTGATGCTATCTGGCGGTTTTTAACCATCTTTCAGATCTCAGCTTAGGGCCTTGGCGAATAGAACATAGGACCAGGTCGCTAGCCGCCTCCAGCCAGATGAAGAGGTGCAAAATGCAGCGGGGTCCTGGGTCAGGGGCCTAGCGCTGCACACAACCAGACTCTCAAAAGCTTCACCTTGTGGCAGTTGGCCGCTCCCTCACTGCCAGCTCCTGGATGAAACAAGTACGAACTTGGGGGCTGTCCGGGTGCTAGGCTTTCTTTTACCGCAGGCTGGGGTGTGGGTGGCAGACCAGATGGTTCCCCCCTAGATAGTCAGTCCCTGCTGGACGCGCTCTGGCAGGGGCCAGTGACTACTCTACTTGGGACCCATACTGCGTTGGATTTGACTTTTCGCGTCCGGCCAGGGGAAGACTCCCGAGGACCGCAGGGATTATTTACAGGGAGCTCGCCAACCAAACACAACAGTCTAATTTAACCTTTCCAAGTCCTCGTAAATTTTTACAGCTGGGAGCCACGGCGAGGCAAACGAAATCTGTTGGTCGTTCCCGATTTCCCAACCAGTCTGTGTGGCTTCTGAAACAATAACTCCTTATGAAATATCATAAATATAGATTTAAATACAGTAGAGCGAGAATGCGATTTGGCTGCTTTTTTATGGCTTCAATTATTGTCTAATTTTATGTGAGGGGTTCCTCTGGCCGCAGTCGCATGCGGGACCCGCGCCTTCCTGATGGCGTGATTAATTGTGATATAAAATAGTCCGCTTAAGAAGTGTGTGTGTTGGGAGGGGGCAGGGGAGAGAACAGAGGCAAGGCCAGATTTGATCTTTTAATCTTCGTTGGCCACAATTAAAACAAACCCGATCGTGGAGCGGCGTGATCCCTTTGCATAAAAACATATGGCTTTTGCTATAAAAATTATGACTGCAAAACACCGAGCCATTAATAGCGTGCGGAGTGATTTACGCGTTATTGTTCTGCCGGGTGGACACGTGACGCGCGCGGCCAATGGGGGCGCGGGCGCCGGCAACTTATTAGGTGACTGTACTTCCCCCCTGGTGCCACCAAGTTGTTACATGAAATCTGCAGTTTCATAATTTCCGCGGGTCGGGCCGGGCCGACCAGGCGCGGGACACGGCAATGGCCACCACTGGGGCTCTGGGCAACTACTATGTGGACTCGTTCCTGTTGGGCACTGACGCGGCCGACGAGCTGAGTGCTGGCCGCTACGCGCCAGGGGCCCTGGGCCAGCCCCCACGGCAGGCGGCGGCACTGGCCGAGCACCCAGACTTCAGCCCGTGCAGCTTCCAGTCCAAGGCGGCGGTTTTCGGCGCCTCGTGGAACCCGGTGCACGCGGCGGGCGCCAACGCCGTGCCTGCTGCAGTGTATCACCACCACCATCACCACCACCCCTACGTGCACACCCAGGCGCCCGTGGCAGCGGCGGCGCCGGACGGCAGGTACATGCGCTCCTGGCTGGAGCCCACGCCCGGTGCGCTCTCCTTCGCGGGCTTGCCCTCCAGTCGGCCTTATGGCATTAAACCTGAACCGCTGTCGGCCAGAAGGGGTGACTGTCCCACGCTTGACACTCACACTTTGTCCCTGACTGACTATACTTGTGGTTCTCCTCCAGTTGATAGAGAAAAACAATCCAGCGAAGGCGCCTTCTCGGAAAACAATGCTGAGAATGAGAGCGGCGGAGACAAGCCCCCCATCGATCCCAGTAAGTGTCTTCTCCTCCAAATCAGCCGCCGCCTCCACGCCGGCCACCCGGATCTGCTGGCCCGTCAGCTTTCTTTGAGCCTGCCTTCGTCCTTGCTGGGAACCTCCCGAGCTGGGACCGGGAACCAGAAGTTGGTGTTTGGGACACCTCAGACGGGGCCCCAAGTCCACAGAACTGTGACGAGCAGGCCTGCAGGGCTGGGGAAAGGGGAGGAGGCTGCTGCAGCGAGAGGGGGCGGGGCGGGCGCTACAAGCCGAGCCAAGACCCGCCGCCCCTCTACTAGGCTGCCCAGGCCCAGGACTGAGCTACTTTGGGCCGTTCTTCGAAAGCAGCAGCGCAGCGGAGAGAGTCTTTTGTGCAGCTAGATTGTTCGTGAGCGGCGGCGGCAGCAGCAGCAGCCGGGCAACCTGACCCCGGGACTCAGGGGGACACGGTCGATTCCATCCACTTCTTGCCTTCAGCCATCCACTTCTTGCCTTCAGCCGGTGGCGGCGTAAATCCTGCCTAGGATGAGGCTGCGGGAGATCGGGCCGCAAGGGTCCCCTTTCCAGATTATTCAAATAAGCCGGAGACGTGATTAAAGGCGTTGGGGCGCCCTGCCGGCCAGCCTAGCTTTCACGGCCTTCCAGGAAGGTCAAATAAGAAGTGGGAAGAGTGGAGGGAAATCTGGGGAAGGAAAGACAGAGAGTCAGAGAGAGAGTGAGAGTGAGAGTGAGAGAGAGAGAGAGAGAGAGAGAGAGAGAGAGAGAGAGAGAGAGGAGCATTCTTAAATTTTGCTACACAAACACAGTCAGCGTCTCGTTTCCCTCTGCGTGGCCCAAAAGGAGATCTGTCTCTAAATTTCACTCTCTCAGAATGTGCAAAGAATGGGAAAAAGAGGTAGGGACAGAAGGATAGAGGAGAAAGGAGGGCGGCGGAGGGGAGGGGGAGCCTAGGTTTTACTGCGGGCAATTGTAAGTGACCGTCCGTGCGTCTGTCTGCCAGGGTTCCATTGTGTCCGAAGCTGGGCTGCCTTCCCTAACCAATTCAGCAGCTTCCTGAATATCGACCAGACACCCAGGAGGCTCCCTCGCACCCGGGGAGGGTGCTTCTCCTTCTAAACCCAGTGTCTCTCTCCTCCACAGATAACCCGGCTGCCAACTGGCTTCACGCACGCTCCACGCGGAAGAAGCGCTGTCCTTATACCAAACACCAGACGCTGGAATTGGAGAAAGAGTTTCTGTTCAACATGTACCTCACCAGGGACCGCAGGTACGAGGTGGCCCGACTGCTGAACCTCACCGAGAGGCAGGTCAAGATCTGGTTCCAGAACCGCAGAATGAAAATGAAGAAAATCAACAAGGACAGAGCAAAAGACGAATGATGCCATTTGGGTTGTTTAGAAAAGAGATGAGCTAGAGAAAAAGAGAGAGGACTGCTTGTCCCCTTGTCCCTGTTCTCCCCCAACCCCAGCCTCCACCACCCTGCACAAAGCGGCTCTAAAACCCCAGGCCTCATCTCCCCCCTGGCAAACCCTGCTCAGGCTGGCTCCTAGGCCTGCAGCTTTGATGGAGGAGGTATTGTAAGCTTTCCATTTTCTATAAGACAAAGGGGGGGGGTGTGCATTAGCGCTGATGGCTGTGTGTGCTAGCTTGTATATATTTAAAAAATCTACCTGTTCCTGACTTAAAACAAAAGGAAAAACTACCTTTTTATAATGCACAACTGTTGACGGTGGGCTGTATAGTTTTTAGTCTGTGTAGTTAATTTAATTTGCTCTTTGTGCGGCAGATCGCTCTGCCTAGATACTTGAACACTGTGTTTTATTGTGGTAATTATGTTTTGTGACTCAAACTTCTGTGCTGGGTGATGCACCCGTTGTGATTGTGGAAGCTAGAATTCAATTTGAACTCAGGTTGTTTATGAGGGGAAAAAACAATTGCATAGAGTATAGCTCTGTAGTGGAATACGTCTTCTGTATAACTAGGCTGTTAACCTATGATTGTAAACTAGCTGTAAGGATTTCCCAGTGAAATAAAAATTTTAAAATGGGGGGAGGTTCTTCAGGATGCATAGATTGATGGTTTCTCTACTTAAGAAATGCAGGCATTTTAGTCTCTACATATGCTTTAAAGTCTTATCTTGTTCATGTACATATAATCTATATATTAAAGAAAAAGTTCATAATCAGACAAGCTTGAATATTGTTTTTGCACCAGAGGAACAGTGAGGAAATTCGGAGCTATACATATGTGCAGAAGGTTACTACCTATGGTTTATGCTTAATTTTAATTGGGGGAAAAATGCTTATTGTAATGGAATTAATTTTATTGATAATAAATTATACACCACAAAACCGCCATTGGGCTACTGAACATTTGTATCCTTGAATAATCTGGGTTTTCCATCGGGCTGAACATACACTGTATATTTTGCAATAGTTACCTCAAGGCCTACTGACCAAATTATTGTGTTGAGATATTTAACTTTTTGCCAAATAAAATATATTGATTCTTTTCTATTTTTTTTTTTTTTGCGGGTCTGCTCTTTGCACCTTCTCCGCCGTCGGGAAGCCTAGGCAGAGTCTCTGATTGGAGGCCAGACTAGGGGTGTCGGGGAGGGAGATCCCTAATTTTGCGTCTAGCCGGCGTTGGAAGCTGAGACCTGCCAGTCACGGCGGGGCCTAAGCTTTCCCAACGTAGCCAACTGCCAGGCGGCACAAGCAGCGGAGGAAGACTGGAAAAACCCGAGGCCTGGGCTCACGACCTTGGGTCTATTCACTGGACCGCAGGGAACCTCGGACGAGATGGGCTGGGGCCTGGGTATCTCTGACCAGTACTGGTCAGTACCGGTGGAAAGACCACTTGTTCATCCTGGTGCCCCGACAAATTTCCCAAACCCGGGTCCCCGGCCGCCTGCGGCCTTTCCTAGCAAGGTGGGAGGAGTGAGAAGCGCAGGACCCACAGGGCCCGCCTTCTGAGGAGGCTCTGAGGAGGGAATCGCAAACCTCACCCGCCATCGTGGCTGCCGGCTCACGCAGCTGGGGACTTGCGCGGGATTCAAGGCCTGCGCTCTCTCCCCACTGCGTCCTGGAAACCGGGCCCGGGAGAATCTGCATCCTGCCCCACAACCCCCTCCCGAAAGCACAAGTCCTGGCAGAGGCAGGGCCCAGGCAACCGAGGAGCCTCGAAGCGCCATAAAAGAAAATGAGGGCTGTTACCGTTTATGGGGTGTAAAGGGCTGCGGAGGGAATGGCCACAACTTCGGAGGCCCGAGCGCTTTCCAGATGTGGCCGGAGGGTTCATCCTCGCTCCCCTCTTTTCTTCTCTTGCCCTGCCCCCCCCCCCGTGACTCCTGCAAAGTTGATCGTGTTCGGAAGCGTGAAAGAGGAACCAGGCGCGAGTGGATGGAGTGTCCCCTCACCCCCACCCCCACCCCCATCCCGCCGCCAAGTTGGGACGCAGTCTGTTGTTGTAGACAGAAGGAACTTCAAAGAATGGGCAGTGAGGGTGTGCCATAAAGACCGGGTCTGCGAACTGTCTGGAATTCGGTCCTTAATGAGTTTACAACTGTCCAGCCCCAATTAGGATATTTCACCAAAGCCCTTTCATTTGTTTGCTCTGTCTGCCGCCGATAAAGCGGTTGCGGAAACAGCTCTCTTTTATGGGCATTACCCGCTCCGCGGCGTAGATTCCAGGCCCCACGCGCCACCCCTCCCCCCGCCCGGGACTGGGTCCTCGCCCCGCCCTTGGGAGTGAGGCGTTTTGTGGACCGCAGCCGCGGTTGCCGAAGTTCAGGCTGGCCAGGGCTTCGGGGGCTGCAGTGCTAAGGTAAGGCCAGGAGATGGCAGTGTGGCTCCACCAAAGAGGTGCTTGATCCGCCATCTCCGGCCGCCGCGACCCTGGGAAGCTCCTAAGATGTCGACTTGACGCGAGCCTTTCTAGAATGGGAGCCCCAGATTTAAGTGGACAACAGTCATATATTATTGGTGCTACTCATGCCAGGCTGGAAGCCTTCCTGGGAAGCATGCATGCGGTGGGTGCTTGCCTGACGCTCACCGCCCGCGCCTCCTAGGCCACATCCCAAGGGCGCAGCGCTTTGGGACTGCAGCTCCAGGGGTCACCGCCCTCAACCCAGCACAGGCTTCGGGGTAGCGAGACGCGCGGGGAACCTGGCTCATCGGCAGATGGACACAAGGACCAACGTCTACAGCCCTCGGACCTGATGAACCCCCACAGAGGGAAAGCAGAGGGCGCATACCGTGACCACGGGTTCCCTGGCGGCCTCGGAGGCACCGGAAACCTGCGCGGTGGTTCAGGGCCGGGTTCAGGACCCAGAAAGCCAGCGCCGAAGAGAACCAAGACCCCCCCGGACTCGGCCGGTTTGAATACGTGACAATAAAATTAGGCGGGTGAAAATTGGGCGTGAAGCCATCATTGGTGAATGCTTAGAGTAGATTAGCCGGGAGTTGCTTGGGAAGAGGAACCTTTTGGAACTGACCAGGAACTATTTGGTTGTTCTAAAATAAATGTGATGTTTAAAATAACAATTATAATATTATCCAAGCTCCAGAATTGGCGCGCGCGCACGTCGTGGAAACATCCTTTACTTTGGCTGCGGTATTTCCTTGACTTTAGGTGCAGAGATTACTCTGGCGACCCTGCTGAGCAGGCCAAAAGGAAGGGACCCCAATCCATGCTCAGTCTATCCCTATGCTAGGTGGGGAACATGCTTCGAAGCCTCTGCAAAGGCCACCCATAGCCCTTACAGGAGGATCAGCCACGGGTGTAGAATGGTTTCGGAGGGAAAACACAAAAGCAAACCGAATCCTTCGAAGCACCCCGGAGCCCTGTGAACATGCCGCGCGGTGCATTTATTTGGGATTGTAATAGTCTCTGCCAAGCCCACAAAATGTTTACGACCTGCATCTCCTCGCTGAACATGCTGTAAAACTGGGGACTAGGTTTTGGCTGACATCTCTCCTGGGGGTTTGCCTCACTCGCCTTTTCTCTTTCTCCTTTTTTCCTGTATATATATATATACATGTTAGTATTAGAGGTTACACTTCATTATATTTCTGTATAAAATGCATACTATTTCACAACATCCGATTGTAAGAAGGGTTTTATAAGGTTTTTATACACGTGGCCGTATATTGTGTATTCAAAACTGCAGATAGAAAGCTTGATTTCTGTAACTACAAATAAATGAAGTCACAAATAGGTTGCACCGCTCACAAAGGAACTGATCACAAAGGAACCAGGTAAGTGCAGGCCTCCCAGAATCTCTGAGGCCAGCTCCGGGCAGAGCCTCCTTGCCCTTGGCCGGCTGGCGGCTGGGAGGCTGTTTGCTCTCTCGGCTGCCTAAGAGCTGCATCCCGCAACCGCTCTTCGCCCAGACCAGATTCTGCACCAGAATCTGCTCATTTGCCCGCATCAGGAATGGGTCTTTCCCTGTGCCCTGGCCAGGGACCTCTCACTGGATGGGGAAAGGAGGCGAGAGGCGTGGGTAGAAACATTTAGAGAAGGAAATCGCTTCCTGACTCTCAGGGCTTTTCCCTTCGGAGAGCTGGGTTTATATATTTAACTGGATTTAAATATCCAGGACTATTGTTAACAAGAAATGGGAAACACTCCGACAGTAGGGGAAAAGCTAGCTTCAAGAGTACAGTGGGAAATTATCTAAAGATAATCAATTTGGCTGATTAGAAACCAGCCTACAAGGGCCTGTTTCAAGCCCGGCATCAACAAGGATTTCCATGATTATAATTACACATAACCCAGTGTATTTGCATCTTTTTAGTCAAATAAGTAGGTAACCAATGGCTCAAGAACTCATGATTAAATAGGTTTTATTGAAAACCTCTTTTTGTTAGGCCGTTTTCGTTTTAAAATCCTTCCACAGGAGGCAGGACAGAGAGAAGCACAGAAAGGAAAGAGAGGTTGAGGTGCCTGCGAGAGTGGCCCAGTTAACTTGACTTGGGCCCAGAAGAACCTAAGCCTTGTAGGCAGCATCTGGATCCTCCTTGGCCTAAGGAGAGGAGCAGAGCTCCTGCCCGGATTGCTGGGTTGCAGCCCGGGGCTAACCTGGGGCAGAGATAGGCATGTGGAGTTTGCATACAGCTCTTTCTTGAGGTGGGTGAGTTTCTTCCTGCACTCCCTGAAATCATTCCCCACTGGGCCTGTTGGATCCCCCTACCTAGGGCAGGTTCTATTTTTAAAGGAGGTATCTTTCAGCCATCCCAGCCGCCTGAGTCTAGACAGACTGTTGCGGCAGAGCCAGGTCTTTTTCTTTGCGTCTTTTTATGTCACCCGAGGAACAATTTATTGGTCTAAAGCCGTCTAATTCTGCTTCTTTGATCTCTTCTTGTTGCTTGACTTCCTTTAGCTAACTTGGGTTTTTATCTCTCTCTCAAAAGGCATTGTTATTTGGAATTTTTTTCTTTCTGTTTTATGCCCTTCATGTCCCATCTGAAATTCTGAGACTGTATCATCCTGACCCACCATAAAGGGCATCCCCGGATATTGTTCCTATAGGTTCTCTGTACCCCCAGGCAGCCCGGGAGCCCACCTGCCCCCACCTCCCCCGCCCAAGTATGAGCCCTTTACTGGGCAGAACCTGGGGATCCTTGCTGATTTGAACTATCTTACTGCCTTTTGTGCCCCAGGACCCCCTGAGAGGGTGCTGTGAATAAGGGGGCATCCTGGACCCTCTAAAACTGATGAAGAGTGCTTTGTACACAAGGAACCAAACTCTATAATTTAGAGGAGAATTTCCGGAGCAATTCCATTGTGAGGTCGGGTTTATGGTGTGCAATCGAGCTGGGCAGTAAAAGGTGGCCAGGCTTCCAGTGCGGCCTGGGCAGTTTATGAGGCGTTTAGAGGAAGGGTTAGCCCAATCATCCTCTGCAGAACAGTGGGCAGCAGGGCTTCAAGCTGATCCAACACCACAGCAGGGCAGGGAAGGTAGGAATCGTGGGTTGAGGGTCTAAATCAGAAGAAGTAAGACTACTATGCACTCAGCTTTCTGTGAGCTGGGTACTTAGAAACGTAAAGCCACTGTAGCTGGGTGGTGTGTGTGGGGGGGGAAGGCTCCCTTATTTGTTTTTGTTATCTCCTAAAGAAATGGGGTCCACGATGGGCTGCAGTCCCCAGATGCCTGGATCCCCTCTCCTGTCCAATTCAGATCTAAAGCATTTATTGCTCCCAGGCATCCAGAACCACAAGGTGGAGGTCCAAGGTTGGCTAGGGGGAAGACTGCCTGGAAAGGTGTGTGGTGGGGGTCAAAGTTCCTCCAAGCTGAAGGGAATAGAACCAGTTCTCTAGTGAGCCAGGGGGGAACCAGGGGTTGTGGGAAGGACAAAGGAGTGTTAAGCCATTTATTGGTTTGCCGGAGGCTAGCCAGGTGCTCAGGAGTGAAAGCACAGAGCCTGCAGGGCCCTGGTGTCCAGGAGGAGAGAGAAGAACCTCATGCTAATAAATCTGTTGGCAAATGAGGCTCATTAATAGATAAATATTTCACTGCTTCCTTTAGTGCGGATAAACTGTGCGCTGCCGATTAAGGAAAGGAAGCCGGGAGAGGTTGAGTTTATTCGAACCACATGGTTCCAGTTTGCGGTGGCATTCTCTCTGCAGCTGTAAGCAACGCTGCGCCTGCCGGGTGTGGATCAGAGTTTAAATCTGGCCTGTTGCCCATCGAACATGATAAAGACCTAGGAAGAATAGAACTGCCCATAGTGGAGCCCTGCCTGGGAGGCCATAGGGTGGGCGGGTGCGCAGGGTGCGGAGAACCTCCAGGGACTGGGTCAACACACAGAAGATGGACAGGGAAGATCCACACGGTTGGTCTGGGGTTCGCTTCTAAGTATGAGGAACTGTGCTGCGCGGACACTGCCCAGAGTCCGCAGGCTCAGGCGCCTGAGTTGGCGGCCAGCCGGGTGCTCCCGCGGAGCCTCGGGGTCCTGTTCCACAGGGTGCTCCAGGCTCGCCTGGCACCGGCGGATTCGTTGGTCGAATATTTGAGCCTCTTCCCCTTCCATTCTAGGCGGCCGCGGGTCCCGCGGAGCGAGACCACCTGTGAGGGCTGCTGAGATTGGCGGAGGCGGTCATGTGGGCGGTCACGTGCTGCCGCGAGCTCCGTCCAAAAGAAAATGGGGTTTGGTGTAAATCTGGGGGTGTAATGTTATCATATATCACGCTACCTCGTAAAACCGACACTGAAAGCTGCCGGACAACAAATCACAGGTCAAAATTATGAGTTCTTCGTATTATGTGAACGCGCTTTTTAGCAAATATACGGCGGGGGCTTCTCTGTTCCAAAATGCCGAACCTACTTCTTGCTCCTTTGCGCCCAACTCTCAGAGAAGCGGCTACGGGGCGGGCGCCGGCGCCTTCGCCTCCACGGTACCGGGCTTATACAATGTCAACAGCCCCCTCTATCAGAGCCCCTTCGCATCGGGCTACGGCCTGGGCGCCGACGCCTACGGCAACCTGCCCTGCGCCTCCTACGACCAAAACATCCCCGGGCTCTGCAGTGACCTCGCCAAAGGCGCCTGCGACAAGGCAGACGAGGGCGCGCTGCACGGCCCAGCCGAGGCCAATTTCCGCATCTACCCCTGGATGAGGTCTTCAGGTAGGCGCAGCCACCAGGCGGGGCGGGCGGAAAAGTAGCCGGGAGCTTGGCGCTCGGTAGCGCGGGGCCAGAGAGAGCGGAGCCAGGCGGCTGTGTGCCTGCAGCCCGTGACTCCCGGCCGCGCTGCCTTTCTGGTTTTAATTAGAGCTGAGGCGCCATTGCGTGGAGAGCCCATAGTATTGTATGTAAATGAGGCTCATAAAACTTTTTATGGCCCAATTAATGGATTCAATCCTCGTAAATTTATTTAACTCCCTTTACCTTGAAATTTTAACATTAAGTTTGTTCGCTATTTTCCCCCTCTCTCTCTCCTTCTCTCTCCTCTCTCTTCCTCCCTCCCTTTCTTCTTTTTCTCTCCCTTCTATTCCTTTCTGCCTGGCTTTTCTTTCTCAGAGGCCGAAAGAGCCAAGTCCTCTGGGGGCCTCTCACCCACCCCTGTGCCAGGGGCCATTTCAAGACGTGGGCCAGGAGGGAACTGGGACAGAGGGTCAGAGTGCCCTAGGAAGGTCTGGAGACAGGGGCGAGGGTTGCTCAGGAGGGTCGCCCACTTGCATAGCAAGGCTGGGGAGCGGAGGGGCTTGCCTTTGAATGGCAAAAGTGCAGCGGCTCCTACTTGCCCACACTCTATATTTACAATTTCCCTTTGTCAGGGGGAACCAGGACATTGTGGAAGCGTAGCCGCCTGGAAAGGTCGGTTGTAAAGTTGGGATTCTGTGCCTTTGCTCCTTACAGAACTGCCTACACGCCTGGCACCATAGTTGGTGCCTTCTGCTAACATTCCCTCTCCTCCCCCTGTTCCGTTCTAGGTTGGGTTGCGGGGCAGAGCTGGTTTTACGTTCTGGGCAAGGAAGAAGGTGCAGGCTCTGGAATAGTAGCCTGGCTAAAGCACTGTTCTGTCCATGTTCCTGTCTGCTTGTCTGTCCATGTGTCTGCATTTCTACTCTTAGGACCTGACAGGAAGCGAGGTCGCCAAACCTATACGCGCTACCAGACGCTGGAGCTGGAGAAGGAGTTCCACTTCAATCGCTACCTGACGCGGCGGCGCCGCATCGAGATCGCCCACGCTCTCTGCCTCACTGAGCGCCAGATCAAGATCTGGTTCCAGAACCGCCGCATGAAGTGGAAGAAAGAACATAAGGACGAGGGTCCATCAGCCACTGCAGTCTCTGAGGGTGCAGTGCCCTCCGCTGCTTCTGCTGCCGCTGCCGCGGACAAGGCCGATGAGGAGGAGGAAGATGAAGAGGAGGACGAAGAGGAGGAGGAATGAAGGGCCACACTGGGGCCCTGGCTGCACTGGACAGTCAGAAAAGCGTCTTTGAGAAACTCACTGGTTTTATTTACAAAAATGGGGAAAATAAGAAGAAAATGTAAAAAATAATAATAAAAATAAAAACACCCTGACTCCAACCCTCACCCCACCCACCCCATCACCCACCCTAGTTCCCAACTTTTCTGGACTGAGTGGCCACCGAGACTAGGTCGCCTTGGGATCCCCTCTGCCTATGAATATCCCAGTAGATACCCCAAACCCTAGGCCAGCGCTTGGCTCTGGCATGGCCAAAATACTACCTAGCACAGGCCTCCTTGAGAGGCAACCCCCAAACTACCTATGGGCCCAGCCCCAGTGGGCCTCCACTCCCAGGAAGCCCCCTTCAACACTGGCAGACACCCAGCACCACCTCCTATATCCTTAAGAATGGTGATTCTCTCAGTACTACCTACTAGCCCCAAACTACCTATTTTGTGCTGGCTGGCTTGCCTGCTACTTGGTGCCGGCCTCTCCCAGGCCAGGCTCCTGCTTCTCCCAGTGGACTGCCTTTGAGGCCTCACTGGGAAGGCATGGAGGTCCAGGGACCAGGGCATTGGCTTCTATTTAAATTGAAAAATAATATATTTCTTCCAAAGCATACTATGTGCTGCAACCTAGAATCCCTCTTTCTCTGGCTTGGGCACCTCAAGTTCAGGCCCATCACCGCCCCCACTTCTGGAGGGAAGCATTCCTGAGATGGCTGCAGACCTCTGGGTTAGCTTCTGCTTCATAGAATTGCAGAGATGCTCCCAGCCTCCCTGTCCTCTTCCCTAGCCCCTGTGTCCTACTGTTCAGCCATGTCAAATATGTACACCCTGATTTTTCCTACAATAACAAATACTGTATATTTGAGGGTTTTTTTTTTCTTTTGTCATTTCTGTAGTCTTGGAGCTCATTTACAAAGGAATATCTTGACTTGGAAAGGATGTGTTAATGGGGTGACTTTGTAGCATGGTGTGTTGTCTTGAGCTAACTCTGTAGTGGCTGGGAGGCCCGAAGCCCTCCCTGATGCCTTTCATCTCCTGTGTTGTCTTGTGTCCCTCTTAGCTCCAGCTTGGGGTTCAGGGAAAATATGCTTCCCAGCCCAGCTAATTGTGTTTTATGTAACAAAATAAAGATGCTTGGTGACAAAGAAACATGGACTACTTTATCCAAAAGGTTGGGGAAAAGAAGAGGTGGCTATAGCTGAAGGGCAAGCCCTGGGTATCCCTGTTTGCCCAGGATGGCAGTAGGGAAGCAAAAATAGACTATCCTTGTATCCAAATGTTGGGTGTACATGTATTAGTGTATAAGTGTGTCATGTGTCTTTTTATGCTTTATGTGTAGATTTGTGTGAGTATGCATGTGCCTATTTTTGCATGTTTGTTTTTCTATACATGCTGTGTATATTCTCATATAGTTTCATAATTGTGTATATTTCTGCATCCACAATTGTGTGTATATCTGTGCCCATAATTGTGTGATTATTTCTGTGTCCATAATTGAGTGCATGTGTTTTTGTGTGTCCATAATTGCACATTTTCCGTGTCCATAATTGTATCTCTTTGTAGAGATTTTTGTCTGGTGTCTGTGTGTACAGAAGATCCCCTGAAAACGGAATCTATGACAGATTCATTATGTTCTACCAACCTCCCTAAAAAACTCCACAAATTCCATAAGCGAATTCGAAATCTTCCCTCTCTAAGGATGTGGAGCGGACTCAGAAAGGGACATCATCTACCCTACAACTGATCCCCAGATTCCTCACACCCTCTGACCCAGCCCCAGGATAGGAAATGGGATTCAGGGACTCTGCCGCTGCACCCCCATTCTGTCTTTAGAAGAGGCTGAGGGTTCCCTAAGGTTCAACACGATAGCGGAGGGGTTCGGAGAGAAGCAGGAACCGCAAAATTGGCTATGCAGCCTCGGCAGGGGCATCTCGGTATTGGGGAAGGGGCGAAAAGCATCCTGAACTCTGCCAGCGAAGACCTCCATTCTATCTCCTGCCCGGTGGGGCCAGCTTCTTAGAGCTCTTTTAATAAAACCCGGCCCAAAATGGTCTGTAAAACCTGCGGCCCCAAGTAGGGGCCGCCTCGGTGGTAAGATGGCGCCGGTGTAAGAGCTGCCTCCTCTTAGTGATGGGGAAAGGGTCATAAATCCGTTGTTGTTTATGAAAATTTACAACTTTGCAATACAACTTTATGAGTTGTTCGGCCCTTCCATTGGCCGCTGTCGGTCATGTGGATAGGAACCGTGAACATGAACTTTTTTATAATTTCCCTTGCGAGAATAGAGCCGCATTCTTTTGCTCCGCTCCATCCTGCCTGCTTCGGAGCTCGGCCTTCCAGTCCCCGCTGGTCCGCGCTTTGTCCCGCGATGGCGAGCAAAGGGAAGCCCCAGCCAGGCCTGGCCGGGCTGCTCGCGCTGGAGGTGGGGCGCGCCCAGGTCCTGGCGCCGCAGCGGCCGTTTTGCAACTCGCAACCTGGCTAATTTCCTGCGTCCTCTGGCACCAGGAAGGAGGACAATTCGTCTCCCGGGCTGCCCAAGCGACAGCTGTCAGAGGGGCAGGAGCTTCTGGCAGCCGCCATCTGAAGGTGAGACATGTGGGAAGGAGACAGGAGCAAAGGTGGTGAGGTGCTGTGCAGGGTGAGAGAGGGAAACCAGCACGGCTTTGAAGGGGAGCAATGCAATACCCACCCTTACCCCATACTCCCCTGTTCACACTCGCCTGCATTACCCACCATAGCCCATTGTGACACACACATACACACACTCATTCACACACACACACACACACACACACACACACACACACACACAACACCACCATCAGCACCACTCCGTCTTTCTCCCTTCCCTGGCTCATCATGTCAGTAAATGCCATCTTCCCATCGTGGCACCTTCCCATCGACCCCATGTTCCTGGCAGCAGTATTTGAGTCTTCTCTCGCCCTTTCTCCACTGACCCCACACTCTGTGTTTCCTGCCAGCCTTTCGGTTTGGATATTTTTGTTGGTTTTTTCATTCATGGCCCAATTAGTTCGATGGAATTCTCCAACAACAGGAGATAGTTCCCAACCCGGGAAGGTGGGAAAGAGGTGAGGACAAAGTGAGTTAACCCAGAGGCATCAAAACAGTACTCTCTATTCCATATAAATTGGTTTCAGAGAGAAAGGAACTTACTAGTTCAGCCAGAGTTCTCCGCAGATTGCTTGCATCCTTTCCCCGGTTTTCCGATGAGAGGTGTCTGAAGCTCTGAGAGCGGGAATAGGTGGATGGGTGGAATTCTGTGTTGAAGGAGAGGATGGGGTTAATTGTCTGGTTGTTGCTTGGTGGGACATTTCGGTGCAAAAAAAAAAAAAAGAAAAAAAACATTGTGGTGTTAGTGTGGGTGCCAAGGGCCGGCTGCTAAGGTTGAAGGACGGATGCAAAACCAAGTCTTGGCAATAACGGGAACCCCCCAACCCACCTCGGCACAAGGGTCTGGCGTCCACTAGCCCCACCTCCCACAAGCAGGGAGAGTACTGCGGACCTAGTCGGGTGGAGGTACTGAGGGTCTGCTAGCGGTGGCTTTGCCTAGCGCGATGATACGAACTGCGGCTCAGTTGGTGCGCTTCAGCCCAGATTTGCCCCGGGGAGCTCCCGGGACAACGACAAGAATCAATCCCGAGATTCTAGGCTTTAATTCTTTTTATTTGTTTTTTTCTTTGCTGTTGTCGTTTCTCCGTTTTGAGAAGAAACCTTGGTATGCACTGGATAATTTAAAAAGGAGTGTAGATGTTTGGGACGTTCGCCCGCGCGGTGGGTGCGCTTGGGGCAGATAAAGCGGCGAATTTGCATGGTGGGGCGTCCGGCTGCCTGACTGCGGCTGCCGCGGGCAGATTATTTATTGCGACCGAGTCGGGGGCTCGCTGCTGCCACGCTGTGGCCGTCGCCGGGACCGGCGCCAGCCGCAGCCCGCCTCTTACAGCCTGTCGCGACTGCTCTACCGGCCCCTCAGAGATTCCCCAGAAGGCAGTGGAGAGGGGGAAGAAGGGGGTCTGGGGGCTGTCTCCCAGAGTCTATTTAGCTGGGGAATCTTCCTGCCTCCGCCACCCCTGACAGCCGGACGCCGGAAAAGACTCGGGTCCTCCCTTCACCCTCACCCCAGCACCATGGAGACTGGTCGCACAGGCCGCCTGGCACATCATGGCTGCTTCTGTCCAAACTGCGCGTCCCAAGGCGCCCTGAGGGCGCACGCCGATTGGGGGAACACGCTGGCTTTGGGATTCTGACATTGGAAAGACCACTTGTAGTCCTGAGGCCTGCTGGCCTGGCTGGCCCTGAGGAGAATTGGCTATGGCAAGGAAGGCGGGCTGTGTCTCCAGGAGAGGGCCTGTGAGGGACAGAGGCCGCACCTGTGTGTTTTGGGTTCTGATCCTGGCTAGTGATTTGGCTGAACGGAGGTGGGCCTTCGAGGTCCCCACACTCACACCAGCAGGCCAACCTCTAGGTTGGCGGAAATGGAGGAAGTGGACGGGTAGCCCAGGGCAAGGGTAGACTGTGTGACCCTATTCGCCATCCTGCCCCCGTTGGAGGAAACTGAAAGGTAAGTCTGCTTTCTATGTAGCAATGAGAGAGAAGAGAAATTCCTGGGACGGACATTCTCACCGTCCCAGGAGAGGCTTTATGGAGGGTCTACGGAGACTGTGAGGTTCCTATTCTTGCTTGAATGGGTCTGTCCAGTGTGCTTGCCTGCCTCTCCCCGCCCCATATATATACTCACACGTGTGTGTCTGGTCAGAGAAATAAATTCGTTGACTGCCAACATAATATGCACCAGCCTTGGGTAACATGTAGATTTTAATTTAATATATTGTCCCTTCTTAGTGCTTACAGAAGCTAGAAATATAACATTTTATGACTCTTAGCTGAGAAATCAAATTCTCTTATAGGCTGTGACAATTATTAGATCAAGAATCTGGGTCAAAGCATAAACAATAATAGTAGTAAAAAACTACAAGCTCCAACATTGTGTGGGACATGGAGAAACAAAAGAGAATTGTAAATGTAAATATTTATCAATATTTGTAAAACGATTTTTTTCATTTTAAATAATAGCTTGCTTGAAATCACTGCCATCTAATGATTTTAAGAAACGATTACAGAAATAGAATATTCTTCAAACTTGACTTTTTGAGAAAATAATTTCCTTTTTACATTTTGATTCCTGAGTTTTCATTTTCACCTATTAGATCATCCCCCTGAAGAAATGTGTAGGAAATGACAAATTTTGTCTAAGAATGAGCCTTCTTTCTATGTAAAGGGAAAACTTTCCCCAGTGAGTTTAATCAAGACACTGGCACAAGGCTTCCTGGCAACCTTGGGCTTTGTGTAAGCTGACCTTAGGCCAGTCCTTTTCTGATTTTTTTTCTCCCTTTGGGCAAAGGGAAGTCAAGGAAAAAATCGAAAAGTAAGGAAGGGATTAAGAAAGTCGTTCACAGATTCCTATGGGAGCATTGCCACTTGCCACTCCCCCCGCTCAGTCCTGAACCCCATTAGCCTGTGTTGGCCAGAGTTTTATAGATCTGACAAACAGCCTTCTGAAATCAAACCAAATCACATCAATTCTCTTTCTTCAACCTCCACAGAATTGAGGGTTTTTAAAGCTAATTCAAGGGATTTTACAAGCCTAACAAACACAGTCTTAAAAATGCCATTGGACCGATATCACATTTTGCAAAATGAGATTGATCCCTGTGCTGTAAAAGGCAACTATCTTGAATGTACACCTCTTAAGCAAAAGAGAGTAGCCCAGAACTGGTTTTTCATGTCCTATCTGGGGACTGCCAGACTTGGGACAGCGGTAAAAGCAATTCAGGATTTCTGGAGCCGTTGAGACAACTATTCTGGGTTCTGGAGCTACTGCTTGTGGCAGCTCCCTGAGTAGTCTCAGGAAGGACAGGAAAGAGGGTACAACCCACACAGTGTGAGCTACTGGGGCTCCTGAAACCAAGCCCATTAATTATCCCCTGTCCTTAGGCCCCACCGGGCTGTTCTCTCTGCCCTGCTTGGCTAAGGGCCCTGCATCCCCTGAGCCTCTGGAATGAAGAGGGAGCAGGTCTGCATCTGGATTTGTATCTGTCTCAGCTCTGAGACAGATACAAAGGTGGAGAGTCCCCCATGCTGGGTGAGGGGAGCAGGTCCCACCTCTGGATTCAGATCTCAGTCTTACAGCTGTTCCTCTATGGTCTTTTCTTGTTGAGACAGTGGTTTCTGGTCTCTCCATTGCGGGGGTTCAAAGACAGGATGGGAATGCGCAGTTGCTGGCGGTGCTTGCTTTGAGACCAAGAAGGCAAAGGCCATTGCAGAAGAGCCCATCAGTGCTCAAGACGTGTTGTATGTGGGAGGAAGAGGCAGCAGGAAGAGCTTAAGTTTGGCCTTGTGCTGGGTAGTTGTGAAGTGAGCTTTCAGCCTTTGGCTGCAAGGCCCAGACCTCTGGTAAGAGTGAGAAGGAGAGAATAAGGGGCTGTATCGATTTCTGAGGTACAGGAGTGAAGAGCAGACAGTGAAGGCCTGGTTTCTAAGAGTCCCTTGTCTAGCTCAAGAACCCACATCCACAGTAGGGGAGCGCAGTGGGAGGGGCAACTCTGGGCCGTGCCTGGAGTGCAGGCCAGCAGGGAGCAAAGCCGTCTGAGTGGGTTGTCAGGTTTCCTGTTTGGAGGAAAACCCCAGCAAAATCCAACCAGGCAAAATGAGGAGGAGGAAAGAGCGAGCCTGGCTGGGCCTTCCCGCGGCCTGGACGCTGGTTCCCCCTACCCGGGTCTGATCTGTACATCCCTGCCCGGGCTGTGCCCGCCGCTGACGTTCGGGAAAAGGAGCTGGGCCGGCTGGCTGTGCGCGCCCATTAATCTGCCGGGCGGGCGGGCGGGCTGGGGGCTGTTTGTAACTTTGCTGCCTCGGTCGCCGCGGTCCCCGGGGAGCGGGCTCCGGCGCTCGCTCCCATTGGCCGCCGCCGCGTCAGCTGGTGCGATTTGCTGCTGTCGCTTTTGGCGTTCGGCCATCCAGAAACAAACCAGTTCGATGACTACTAATAGTTATAGCCAGATGTACTAATACACAACAAATCACAGTCCTGCAGAGGGGCGCGCAAATGAGTTCCTATTTTGTGAATCCCACTTTCCCCGGGAGCTTGCCCAGCGGCCAGGACTCCTTCTTGGGCCAGCTGCCCCTCTACCCAGCCGGCTATGACGCGCTGAGGCCCTTCCCGGCCTCGTATGGGGCGTCCAGTCTCCCGGACAAGACATACACCTCACCTTGTTTCTACCAACAGTCCAACTCGGTCCTGGCCTGCAACCGGGCATCCTACGAGTACGGGGCCTCGTGTTTCTATTCTGATAAAGACCTCAGTGGCGCCTCGCCCTCGGGCAGTGGCAAGCAGAGGGGCCCCGGGGACTACCTGCACTTTTCTCCCGAGCAGCAGTACAAACCCGACAGCAGCAGCGTGCAGGGCAAAGCCCTCCATGACGAAGGCACCGACCGGAAGTACACGAGTCCTGTTTATCCTTGGATGCAGCGGATGAACTCCTGCGCTGGTAAGGCTTTTCCCTGCACCCCCCCACCCCCACCCAAGACAGTGGAGGGAGAGGGGAAAGGAGACAGGGAAAGGAAGAAGAAAGGAGAAAGTGCCAGAGAAAGTAGGAAGAGGAATTAGAGAGAGTGGAGGAAAGAATGAACAAAGTTTCTTTGGCTTTTTAAAAATCGATTTTTAAAAAGAAGAAAAGCATTCCCAATGGAGCCATCAGGCTGATGCAAAGGAAAGCAAAGGCAGGGTCCTTGTAAGGTGATACTTTAGGGGAGGGTGGGGGGAATCACTACCAGGCTGTGTGAAAACCTTGACAGGGGCAAACTTGAGGGAAGGTGGCAACCAGAAAAGGAAGCTGGTTGGGAGAGCCTGCCCCTGCTACACCTTGGTAGCATCCTAGTCGGGTTCCCAAGAAGACTGGGCCTCCTTTGGACATCACTGATAACTTCTTTCACCTCTCAATTCCCTCTCCTTTCTGCCCTTCAGAAACCCAGACAGAGAGGGCCCCCCATTTGACCTCTTCCAGTGTCTCCTCAAAGCCTTTAAGGGCCACATTCCCAGCCTCAGGGTCTCTCTCTCCCTAGCTCTCTCTCTCCCCCTCCCTCCCCTCCTCCCCCTTCCACTCAACTGCTCACTCTTAGCCAACTTCTGCCTCCTTCTGAGCCTTACACTGGCTTGGGGGGATCCTCCCACCCTTGGGAACCTTTGGCAGCAGAACAGACAGCCCAACACATCCCTATTGCTAGAAACTCCAGCTCACCTATAGTGCCATCTTTTCAGCCCTGGTTTTCAAAGACTCCACCGGGAGTTTCTCCCCCCTTGGAGGAAGACAGAACCTAATGTGGATTTTAAAACTTAGAGTTTTGCTGTAAAAGTCACTTTTCCCCAAGTGGATCTCTGTATTTTTCAGATGAGTCATATAATTTGGGAGAATATGCAGAGATTTATCAGGGCTGACCATATTTAACTTTTAAAAAAAAATGTGTTGAGTCTTGACATTGATGGCCTCAGTAGCATCCTCTCAGAGACCAATGTGTGAATTCAGTGTCTATACTGCTCACAGGGTTCCACTCTCACTCACCCCAAGCACACATACTACTCCTCACACATACAAAAATGACTCTGGTGTTCCAAATTAAGAATGTTATTCTATTATTTCCCTTGTAATTGTTTTCTTACAAGCCCAAAATTTCAAAAACTGTAACTTCCCACTCCAAGTCGTTTAAGGTGAAAAACACCTCGCTTGCTATGAAATATCTTCTCCATTCAGCCCGCTTTCATCCCCAGATGTAGTGAGAGAGGCTAGAGTGGAGGCGGGGTGGTTTCCAGCCCAGAGGCCCCTGGCGGGAGGCAGGGAACTGACTGGTTTGGCCATCGGGACCTCGCTTACCAGCACCCGGCCATTTCTGCCTGCAGGTGCGGTCTACGGGAGCCACGGGCGCCGAGGCCGCCAGACCTACACGCGCTACCAGACGCTGGAGCTGGAGAAGGAGTTCCACTTCAACCGCTACCTGACGCGGCGCCGCCGCATTGAGATCGCCAACGCGCTCTGCCTCACTGAGCGCCAGATCAAGATCTGGTTCCAGAACCGCCGTATGAAGTGGAAAAAGGAAAATAAACTCATCAATTCCACACAGCCCAGCGGGGAGGACTCTGAGGCAAAGGCGGGCGAGTAGATGCCTGGGCAGAGACCAGGCCAGCGCTAGAACCTCCTTCAGCTTTGCCCCTTTGCCCTTGCCTGTTCCCTAAACTTTTCTCCCCGCCTGCTCCCATCCAGGGGCTTCCACAGCTTTGGTGGGGTGCCAGGAGCTTTGCAAGCCCTGAGCGTTTATTTATTACAAAAACCAAGAAACCCACACACGGCAAATCCCAGCGGTCGAGCGGGGCGCACTGTACACACACAGGCCTGTTCCCCAAAGCTACCCAAGACGGCTCCGGGGTCCCAGGGTGCACTCAGAATTTGTCTAGGCCCCTGTTAGCATCTCTGTGCTCTCTGAGCTCAGAATGCGGGGTGGCCGGAAAGAAAGAGTCCCAGGCTGTGCCGGGTTTGGTGTTTGGGTGTCTTTGCCGGCGGCCCCTCACCATTAAGTCCTGACGGGTATCACCAAGTCATCTCTGGCCACTAGAAAGACAGGGCCTAAGGGCTGGGGCCCCAGCTTTTTGGCGGCTTATGAGGCTGCCCCCAAACAGGAAGAAGCTCCAGGAACAAAAGGGCCACTACAGAGTCCAGTCTCAGGCCGGCGCACAACCGTCAGTGGAAAAGCAGCAGCCTCAGTCGTGAACAGCCAACCTGGGAGCCGGTGGAACATTACAGCCCTGGAAGCAACTGGGCTCCCACAGGCTCCCACTCCAGATTCCAGATTCTTGCCTCCGACAGCGCTGGCGCCGCCACCAAGCGGCTTTCAGAACACAACAAGGGGGCCCAGGGCCATGGGAGCAAGAAGAGTCCTGGCTTCCAAACGTGCCAGGGGCGCCTCGGATGCTGGGCCTCCAGTGGGGAGACTCCCCTCGCCTCTTAGTTGTATTTGTGATTTACTTTCGTCTTTCAAAGCCCAGAAAAATAACTGCGGAGATACTAGGCACCGCTGCGAAATGATTCCATTAACTTCCTCATTTCATTCCTGGAGGTCTAAGCAAGACCCCAATAACTCGACCTGCGGATCCCTAGGCCCCAAGCAGCCTCTGTGGTTGAGGGAAGCGTGGATCCATTCGCTGGGTTCACCGAGAACCCTCCGACTTGGGCCCGGGCTAGCTCGAGGAAGGCAACCCGGTGGTGAAGATTCTCCAGGCTGGATACGTAAGCAAATCAAATAGGAAACTAATGACACGAAAACCATATTTACAAGAAAGAAAAAATCGACTCTAGTTATAAAAGTGTATGGAATTTGACCTTGCCTCGAAGAAACACTACACAAAAGCTATCTTTAATAGACGCCTGTCATTTAAGAGCGGCAGGGACACTGTCGCTCATGCGCTCGCAAAAACAGAGCCGTAATTGTAGCTGCTGCTGCGGGCAGGATTTATTTCTTCAATTGGCTAAATGGCCTCCTCCCCTTCCCCGAAGGTGATATCTGTATTTCAAAATTCAGAGCTGCCGGCAGGACGGGTGGAACCGACCCCAACCTCGACACAAAAATAAGAGGGGCTGCAAAGCCGGGAAATAAAGTTGTTGTAAATAAATTCCAAGTCACCACCTCCCCCTAATCCTCTGCATCCTCGCCGGGCGCGCGATCGGCAGCTGACGGCCTCACAATTGGTACATCCTAATGGAACTGCGAGGGAAATGCAATAATTTTGCCATAATGGGCTGTAACCTCAATTCGACCCCGGCCCTTGCAGCCCCGGGTCGGAAGCGGAGCGATGCGCCCTGCCTCCAGCGGGTGGCGCTCGAGTCCGACTGAACGGCGGCAGCTGGTGGCGGGCACGCGCCCGAGGCGCGCGCGCCACCCCTCTCGCCTCCACCCAACTCCCCCATTAGTGCGCGAGTTTACCTCTAGAGGTCATCAGGCAGGATTTACGACTGGACAACAAAAGCACGTGATTCGAAGTCGTACCCCATATTTGGGTGCCTACGTAGGAGGGAACCAAGTACATGTCCCAGTCATTTCCATAATTCATCATAAATTGTGCAAGGGTGCTATAGACGCACAAACGACCGCGAGCCACAAATCAAGCACACATATCAAAAAACAAATGAGCTCTTATTTTGTAAACTCATTTTGCGGTCGCTATCCAAATGGCCCGGACTACCAGTTGCATAATTATGGAGATCATAGTTCCGTGAGCGAGCAATTCAGGGACTCGGCGAGCATGCACTCCGGCAGGTACGGCTACGGCTACAATGGCATGGATCTCAGCGTCGGCCGCTCGGGCTCTGGCCACTTTGGCTCCGGAGAGCGCGCCCGCAGCTACGCGGCCGGCGCCAGCGCGGCGCCCGCCGAGCCCAGGTACAGCCAGCCGGCCACGTCCACGCACTCGCCTCCGCCCGACCCGCTGCCCTGCTCCGCCGTGGCCCCCTCTCCAGGCAGCGACAGCCACCACGGCGGGAAAAACTCCCTGGGCAACTCCAGCGGCGCCTCGGCCAACGCCGGCAGCACCCACATCAGCAGCAGAGAGGGGGTTGGCACGGCGTCCGGAGCCGAGGAGGACGCCCCCGCCAGCAGCGAGCAGGCGAGCGCGCAGAGCGAGCCGAGCCCGGCGCCGCCCGCTCAACCCCAGATCTACCCCTGGATGCGCAAGCTGCACATAAGTCATGGTAAAGCCAGCCCTTTTCTAAATCCACGCGTCCGCGGGGGCGCGGCTCTTGGTCCCCCTCTCTCCTTGCCGCTCTCTCTGGTTCTTTCCTAGTCTTGCCTTTCCCAGCCCTCCGGAGCTTCTCCCTGCCATTCTTCCCCTGCCTTCATCCTTCTTCCTCCTCTTTTCAGCAGCACACTGTGCTCGCAAATAGTAAGGGAATGAGTTGGTGGGCAGGCAAGTTTAAACGTTGAAAGTGGGAGAAAGGGGGAAAAAATCCATCTCAAACCCCAGCGCCTCTGAATGCTCTACGGGGTCTGGAGAGCCGAGCAGATAGCAGAGAGGTAGAGGATGGCAGTAGGGGCCATGAATCGGGCTTGTCAGGGCGGATAATTTATGAGGAGGGCTACCCTGGGAAAACAGCCTTACTAATTACAGCCCCCCAAAAAGGATTGGGCGAGGGCCGGCAGGATTCTGAAGTTTGGGGGTAAAAGGGAGAGAGGAGGAAAGGAAGAAAAAGAAAGCAGGCGCCCCCAGCATACAGGATGGAACAGGAGGCGGCTCTCGGGGCTGGAACTTTAAGGGAGGGTGACCTGGAGGCCACTTAGGCACTCAGAATAGGGCCGTACTTCGGCTAGTTTCCGAGGAGTAGGCAGCCTATGAGGGCTGTGCCCCCCAATCAGGGGTGTCCAGGGCAGGGCCAGAGGGCAGAAAAGGGGCGAGGGAAAGCCCGGCGGTCCTTCGGGACACGGTTCCAGCCTATGATGGGCCGATTGTTCCCAGAGTTCAAATCGTATTGTTTCTCTCTAGAAAGGAAGAGGGAAGGAAATTCGGGAGGGGAGGGTGGACAGGCAGAGAGGGAGGACTTGTTGAGTCTTTTGCCCAGGTTCCCTGCTCAGGACCCTGGCTTGTCAAGCTGGTGGACTTTGGAAGCCAAGGACTGAGGAGTTGGTGGCTAAACCGCTGACTTTTCTGTTGCAGACAACATAGGCGGCCCGGAAGGCAAAAGGGCCCGGACGGCCTACACGCGCTACCAGACTCTGGAGCTGGAGAAGGAGTTCCACTTCAACCGATACCTGACCCGCCGAAGAAGGATTGAAATAGCACATGCTCTTTGCCTCTCCGAGAGACAAATTAAAATCTGGTTCCAAAACCGGAGAATGAAGTGGAAAAAAGATAATAAGCTGAAAAGCATGAGCATGGCGGCGGCGGGAGGGGCCTTCCGCCCCTGAGTATTTGAGCGTTTAAAGTACTGAGCAGTATTAGCGGATCCCGCATAGTGTCAGTACTAAGGTGACTTTCTGAAACTCCCTTGTGTTCCTTCTGTGAAGAAGCCCTGTCTCGTTGCCCTAATTCATCTTTTAATCATGAGCCTGTTTATTGCCATTATAGCGCCTGTATAAGTAGATCTGCTTTCTGTTCATCTCTTTGTCCTGAATGGCTTTGTCTTGAAAAAAATAGATGTTTTAACTTATTTATATGAAGCAAGCTGTGTTACTTGAAGTAACTATAACAAAAAAAGAAAAGAGAAAAAACCACACAAAAAAGTCCCCCTTCGACCTCGTTTAGTGCCAATGTTGTGTGTTGCACTCGAGTTGTTTAACTGTGCATGTGCGTGGAAGTGTTCCTGTCTCAATAGCTCCAAGCTGTTAAAGATATTTTTATTCAAACTACCTATATTCCTGTGTAATTAATGCTGTTGTAGAGGTGACTTGATGAGACACAACTTAACTTGTTCGACGTGTAGTGACTAGTGACTCTGTGACGAAAACTGTGACTCCAAGCGGTGTGTCCCTGCGTGCCTTTGTAGGACCCTTTGCACGAACTCTGGAAGTGGCTCTTATAAGCTCAGCTTCAGTGATGTATGTTTTTGTGAACAAAGTTACAAATATTGTCCAAGTCTGGCTGTTTAAGCAAACTGTGATCAGCTATTTTTTTTTTTTTTGGTATTTGTTTTTAAGGAAAAAATACTGACTGGAAACAAAAAAATAAACTTTCTATTGTAAGTTCTCTTGGTCTTGTTTGTGCCAAACAGTGAGCGGCTCTTTCTGCTTTTCTGTCTGTCCAGTCCTGGAAGTTGGTGGGCCTGAGGCCACCTGAGCAGCCTGCCTGTGCATGGAGGCCTCAGACCATCCTAACCAGCTACCTCCCTTACTTTGATCCATCAGAAAGTTCAGGGCAGAAAGTGGGAAAAGCAAAGCTGTTCCAAAGTCCACTATGCCCATTCTGAGGAAAACAAGTTAACTTGCTGGGTACAAAAAAGAGAAAAAGGGAGAGAAAGAAGGAGAAAAATCCAAGGGCTTTGTTAGCAGCCCTTGGGGCCCACATAGACCCTGCCTCTTTCCTAAGGCTGTCTTAGGCCTCCACTTGCTGAAGAGACTGCTATGCCAGGTTATGGACCCCAAACCCCCTGCCCCTAACCCATCCCAGAACCCCTTCCCCACTCCTCACCCTGAACCCAGTTGACTTCTTTTGCTACAATTAATTTGCTACAAATGGAAGGTACTTACCCCATCCTAGCTCGATTGGGAAACTCCTCAGAGCGGCTAAAGCCCAACTAGAGATTTGCACATTTACCGACTGCTTACACTGATGCCGTCTTTCCTTTTAAAAGTTATAAAACAGTAAACTTTATAAGCCCCAGTTCCGGCTATATGACATTTGGGTGCCAAATGAATAGGGTTTTGTCTATGAATTAGATCGTAAAATCATCCATAGCACAGACAGATCGGCTCACTGGCTATAAAACGTCACGTGGGGCCATTAAAGTAAGTTTTATGGTTTTGGGGAGTTGACATCCAACATTATATACCACATAACATATAATCTCACTGACGCTGGACTCCATTTGACTCTTTTGCAGGCTACGTGTGCCTCCTGGTCATTCAAATTGTCAATTTTAGGTCCAGAAGTGTCCAAACTACAACTTCTCAAAACTCTGAAAAATGGCTCCCTCCAAGTTAAGGTAAGGTAAGCTTGCTTCCTGAGCTCTTTCAAGTTTATTTGTGCTCTGAAAACTTTCTCTCTCTCCCTCCCCCCCTCCTCTCCGAGGATGCCTCTGAATCCAAAAAGGGACAGCAAAGTTTTCCTCTGCTCAAATTAGCAGAGCCAAGAAACCAGCTTTGCGGAGGCAGCCCAGTGAACAGCGCCTGTGGCCCGGCCGCATCCCCAGGCCTAACTTTAATTGCTGCACAACCGCGGATGTTAATGACTTCCGCTGCTCCCGCCGGCGTGCAAAAAGATGATTTTTGTGTGGGAATAGGCCTGCGTGTGGAGTCTTGGCAGGCCCGCTCCCCATTCCGCGCCTGGCCTGTTCCGGGCTCTTTGGGGGTCGAGGAGCCCTGGGGTGGGGGCTGGGAGACAGTGGGGCGCCGGCTGCGGGCGCCAAGGGCTGCGCTGAGCTCCGGAGTTTGAAAGAAAGGCCCCGGCAGGGCCGAGGCGGACTCTGGCGGGATTCCTTATGGGGCTGTGGCAATATGTCTTCGCGGGCCAGGGTCATTTGGCAGGACTGAATTGAGGCGGCGGCCTTCGGGGCCGGGTTTCAGGCTGGCGCGCGAGAGCAGGAGGGCGTTTGAGGCCCGCGTGGCGCAGGCTGCACCTCCAGGCTGGGCCCCTGGTTGCGAGGCCGAGCCCAGGCTGCTAAAGCCCACTGGACGCTGGGGGACCCTAGGTCCCCACCTGGGGGATGGCTCAGCACCCCCTCCCCCGCCCCAGGGACCAGGCCCTGAACCTTGTTTGCCTGCACGTTCTTTTTATTTCTCTGGGACTGTTCTCACCCGCCTGTGAGTCTGAAGCAATAAACTTTATGGCCGGATTTAACTTTAGTCTTTGAATCCCCAGGCTAATTGAAAGGGGTTAAAAACGCTTTCTTTTCTTCCGCCTTGCCCGTTCTCCCGCTCTTCTTTCCGTTTCCTCTCCTTCTTTGTAGAATTAAAACAGAGGACCCTCAAAAGGCAAATTAGGCATCCCCCTAGATAACACTGAAGATTAGAGCAATTTACTCCCCCTCAGCATAAAGACAAATTCTTTTTTTCCAAACTGTGCCCTAAAGTTTGGGGGGGAAATCGAGGTGTCTTCAATGCTCAACTTAAAAGTCCCTAGAGCCATTAGGTTGTTTTTCCTGACACATCATAAAGGGTAGTTTAGGAAAGAAATCGGTAGTTTGTCAGTAGGAGATTTCCGCCTCTCTTTTGTTAGTTGCTCTTTCTGTTTGATCCCAGGAAATTTACATAATCTGTGATTTCCAAAACAGTCTCCAAAATTGCACCAATGGGTGAAGTAAGGTGAAATGAATTTTTCCCGGGTACAATTCCATCTTGGTCCCAGCTACCCCTTCTGGCCCCAGCCCCCTACATTCTTCAGTGGCACAACTAAGCCAAGTGACTGGGGACATAGTGGCTTGTCTTGGTGTCTTTTTCTGGGTGGGCACCCAAAAGGGACCTAGAAGATTTCCCCCAATCCTGTCTGAGGAGTTAAGCCAAATTCTCTAACTGCATTGAGAAATGAAACAAAAAAAAACAGGATCTGATTTTCTCTCAGGAGCTGGGCAGCTTTCCTGCAAGTGCTTATTGGTAGAGATATTAACTAAATAGTTAAAGAGAAAAATTTTGAGGCATAGATTTGGAATTTTGACAAACTTTATTGCACAGGTCACCTGTACTCAAAGGAAATCCAACAGTTGTCCCCAAAGTTAGAGATACCAAAAGCAAAACCTTGAAAGTTTGTTTTGCTTTGCAAAATTAGAGCCCTCCTACCTAACTCCTACTTTTCATTAATAGTGGCAAGATAAAGAATTCCTGAAGTTATTTTGTGTAACCCATTAAAGTGATATGGATACTACAGCACTAACATATGTGTCCAAATCTTAAGTGGCGACTGGAATAAGAATTCTATGTAGGGTCTGAGAATTCTGGATCCTTTCTTTTGCTACTATGGCTGTTTTTCTTTATTGGCAAAATATTGGGTGGTGGTTCTATTTTGGTTACTTATTTGGTAATCTTGCTTGAGTGATTCCTTGGTGACTGAAATTAGAAGCAGAAGAGTCACAGGGATCCTGGCAGGTTTGTCGGAGAAACTTGCATAAAGAAATTATCTTTACCACGTTGGTGGCATACCCCAACTTGGGGTGAGAGGTTGAAAGAAAGACCGTTGGAGTCATATCCAGCACCATACAACAAAGAGAATCTTTCTGGTTAATTTTAAAAATTGCAGGCTATAAATACTGTCAGCTTGTCCATTTCTATTTTAATCTTCACAAAACTTGAGTAGAATTTAAGAGAGCAGGTTGACCCACATGGAGTAAAATGGCTTTTTAAGAAATACAATATCCAGTCGGACCTATGTAAGTGTTATTATTACCTATGTAAGTGGGTTTTTTTCTTTCTTCCTAATTTCATAGCAAGCTGGCTAAAAAGGATGACTGGTTATCTACTCATTTTGTAGATAAGTTATTTCTTTTTGTGATTATTTTTTTGGGGGGGTTGTTTTTGCAAAGGAACTTACTTAGGGAAAAAAAAATCTCTGTCACTGAAGACATCCAGCCTTAGCCGGTGGCAAAAGTATGTCTATGCTCCTTCTCATCTTGAAAAGGGAAAAGGCGGCAGGAATGTGCAGGGGCTCATTTGTTTCCACAAACCTGAGAGAAAATATTTCCTGACCTATAAATATAATAGGAAGCTTCTGGTCACACTTACTAGGGGTTTGTTAGGGTTTGCATGGTCTATTTTCACATCATTATGCCAAGAGTCCTTTTCTCCTGTTTTCCCCTGCTTCATTGCTGGTGGCTCTGCAAGGAGAGTGTCTTAGAATTTTCTACCAGAAACAGTCATGTTCATTTGTTGAGCTTTAGAGAGGATTATGCCCAAACAGCTACATCCTAAAAGATGGGCTGATAAGAGGAAGACTGTCATTTTAGCTTGAAAGATGCCCTTAGTGTCTCCCTGCCTTGGCTGGGGGTCTATCCATGGCTTGCCCACCATGGAGAGGGCAGAGCATTGTGGGTTCCATCCCTTTGGCTTCTAAGGAGGGATTTCCTTGGAGTCAATGACAAAACTATTAATGGGGCTACTAGGCATGGGCTGAGGGGGTCAGCCTAGGCTCCCACCCACATAGGGGAGGGATCCATAATTCTAGCCATTCTAAGCCCCAGAACTAAAAGATCAGCCCAGGTTTGTTTTGTTTGGTATTTTTTTTCACAAAGAAATTTGTCCTTCTCCCACCAGATCCTTTCCCCACAAATGGGTCTTTTTAATAATAATATTTGTTATGAAGGTTATTAGGTAATTATTGCAATTTTGTGAAGCAGCCCTTGCTGGAGGTGAAGTCTGTCATCACCTAACAAATGACGCCCCGCGCAGTTCACTGCCGGGTTAAGTAAATGCAGAGAAGATAAATCTGCACACCCTAGGAATCGCCAGCAGAGCACGCTTTAGTACAAGTTCACAGTCAACTTGCCCGCCTGGGCTAGCTCTCCCAAACAATTAGGGCTGCATCTTTATTTTTAAATAAAGAAAAAAATGTTCCCATTTCCCATTGATAGTTCCCCCCATCTTCTCTTTCATTTTTTGAAAAATTTTTAAGTACCCAAATTTACCTTGTTACTGAAATCGTGAATGATTCCAAGTTAATCTAGTTCCTATGTAAGTGCTGACAAAAAATAAGTAGCAGACTAATTTGACAGGAAATACAGTCAAAAACACACAGAATTATCCAGTTCACCCTCCAGTTCCAAAAGGCAGTGGCAGAAGCAGAGTATCCCAAGATCCTCAATCCAGGGGGTTGGGGTGGGGGAGCTTCTCCCTGAAAGAAGAAGCTCAGCTTTGTGTATCTTTGTGGTTAGTGTGCTACAACTGCAGGTCAAAAAGTTGAGGGTCAAAAGTTTACATTGTGTAGCACTCTTAGTCATCTGCCCAGACAGAGTTTGATGTCAATGTTAGAGCTGCGATCTTGACTATCAGCACAAAAGATAAAATGGCTCGGAGTGACGCGTGTATCACAGTATGGACTCCAGGTGAACCCTAGTGGTTGAATGACCTCAATTACGGAGGAAAGGATAGAAAATTCCTCTTTTCAAGAGTAATACATGCTGTATTTCATGTTGAATTATTGCTTCCATTCTGAGAGAATAGCAGCAGGTAAATAGGCATAGATTTCTGAAACACCAACACCTTAGATGTTGGAGAGCAGGAGTGGTTTGTAGGTTTGTCAGCAAGAAAAACGTTCAAAAACTCATCACTGTACCTTTAAGAAACAATGTAGCAACTTTCCCATGTTCCATTGTACCCACAAAGGCAAGAGAACTGAACAGGAAACCTCTTTTATTTGATAAAGGTGATTTTGATTGGCTAGGTTTTGTTTTTTTAAGTACCTATAATGACCTCAAAAGTGTGGAGAGAAAGGGCAAACACAGGCACTTCATGCAAAATGTATCCTTTGCAATTTTCAAACATAGAAAACACTTTTTCTGAAACTAAATGCAAAGTTTTGAGAGCTTGAAAGAGGAGGGAAAGATATGGAAACCCTCTAGAAAGAGACAGGATTCCTACCACCACCACCACCAGGGAGAAAACATTCATGTTGTTGAAGAATTTTTTGTTTTATGTATTATTAACCCACAACTGAATGTAGACAAATGCTACGACACAATTGAATAAATAGAGAATGCAAGAAGGTGGAATCTACAAATGCCAGGCCACACCATAAGATTTCTGTTCTCTAGAATATACTTTTGAAAATTACCTGTGGAAATGGGTGGAGTGGTAGGTAAGGAGTGGGGGAAACAAGCTAAGCAGGAAGAGTGGGCAAGTAGAAAAGAAAGGGAATAGTGTACTATGGAAGCAGGCTGGAACCATAGCTCCTGTGTGAGTTGCAACTGAATAACTAAACAATATTTTCTTTTTCATGCATTAAGTTGGTTTTAAGTGTTGATGCTGTTAGAATCTATTTCCTGGGGGACGTGGTTTCCTTTTCTGTGTATTGACCTTCAAGTGATCAGTGTAGGAAAGTAGAAGAGAAAGATAAAATATTTTCTAGGTTTTTCTTCTTAATTTTGGAGATAATCCAACTACCCAGAATGTAGACTATTGCAAGGATGTTTGAGATCACCTTGATATATTCAGGTTGATTAGATTTAACAGTGCCAGGTATGTTCAGTATTAAAGTAAATATTTCCCAAACACTGCCTTCATGGAAGTAATAAGGGTGCTTCTACTGTGCAATGTGTAAAGTTTCTATCCTGGCCAAGAGCTTGGAGCCAAATGGGGTTTTGCCAGATGAAATAGAAGAAAGGAAACAACTGTGGTGATTACTGTTACAGCAGTACACACTTTACCACATCTGGACTAGTGAAATGAAGAAAGTGGAAACCCCTCTTACTGAGACAATTCTATGTCTCTTGTAGAGGACGTTACTATTGTATTTCTGGTTAAAACCATGTAACACACCTTAGAAACATTTTAGCTTTAATACCCATAGATACCTCCCAGCTAGTCTTTAAAGGGAAAGAAAAAGGCACTTGCATACTGCTCCCAGAGTATTCAGAGGATTTCAATATTTAGGCCTCTCATACAATCCTGATCTTAATATAAATTTTAGGTTTTCCGTCTGGGTTGTGTTCATTATTTTAAACTACTACAAGGAAATTACCCCCAAAACAATTAATTGGTCAAATAGCTGGTAACATGTTGTTCCTTTACAATCATATGCCTCAGGGTAGGTGGTGGGAAGCCCTCAAAAGCCACCATCAGGCATTTTGAAATTCTACCATTCCCCAGTTTGCTCTAAAAACGTGCTTCAGATAGAGAACAGTCTGGGGCTCTGCCTCTAAAGAACAAAGGACAAATACAGTCAATACATTCCATAACGTTTACATTTCCTTTGCTTTCCCCCCTTGGTTTTTCCCCCTTGGTTTTTCCTGAGAAGTGACCTGGGCAAAGCACCCTACTCTCTAAAAGACACTGTATAGACCTTTTAGAAGCGCAAAGTCCAAGGCCGAGGTGAACTTCAGGTCAGCGCGTCTAACAAATATGAAAATGTCGGCTGGTGAAGGGCGCGCCTTGTGATTTAACAAAGACTGTCAATGTGTAAGATTAATAAGAAACAAAATGCACACGGTGTCACTGTTCGGTCACTTTGAAACTTGGGACAGGGTTGCATTCAAGAGGAAAGGCTGTTCCAAACATATTCAAAATGATTCAAATCAGATTCAAACCAAGCTGCAAATACTGCCTCCCTCTTGCCCTCCCTTTCCCTAGGACTCCCTTCACTCTCCTTCTCCATCTGGGATGCGAGGACATGATGAAAAGTTATTTTACTTAATGGGATTTTAAGAAAGCTTTTGTTGGGAATATATGTTATCCCTGCACGTGGAAATGAGCAAATATGCTTACCAGTTTCCCAAGGAAAGGATAAAGATTTCACTCGGCTTGGGATTGGAGCCAGTTGGTGTGTGAAGATTAGCATGCTCCCTCTCTGCTCGATTTCAGGGCATCCCATCTTTTCTCGGGCAAGATGCTGCTGGTAAAACTTCAGGGCTTTGTTTTTCTTTTCTTTCTTTCTTTCTTTCTTTCTTTCTTTCTTTTTCTTTTTTTTTTTTGAGTTAATATCTTCCTAGTTTTTCCTTTGCTGTCTTGGATTTTATGTAAAGGCAAGAGGTGATTTAGAATATATATACATATATGTATAATTACATATATACATATTTAAAAGATTATTTGATTCAATGGAATTGTGCTATGGTTTTTGCAAAGGAAGATTGTGGAAGGTTCAGAAAGGTACTGGGATTGTTTATTACAGCCATAAATCTTGCAGTAAAATGTCAAAATGTCGGTGTGTGAGATAACACTTGGTGGTCCTGGCTCCGTTTGTGTTTATGATACGAACCCGCAAAGACAAGTTACAGGCCTTGGGGGATTCTGTGTAAGCCCATCTTCCTAAAGTAATAGAACCACACGAAACACAGGCACAGTTAGCTGGTTTAGCTTATCCATATACAAACAGTGCCTGTGTCTCCTTAATACTTAAAAATAGATATTTCGTAGAAGATTCTGAGGCTAAACAACATGAATTTTGTGTTTTAGTGTCCATAAATAATATTAAACAGACATAGTTAAGACCCTAATACTCAAAGTTGATGACTTGAGGAGAGCAAGATTTCCTTGTCACGATTTTTCTCCCCTTGAAGCTCAGAGAGCTCAGATTTGTAATACATATTATCTATATGTATATTATTTCTATTACATAGTATACAATCTAGGTACCTATTATTTTTTTCTTGCTGGCAAGACATATTGGTTTAGGTTGCTGTATCACAGGCAAGATTTTTCTCACCCGAGTCTAGAGAAGATGTCTAAAGATTATAATCAGCGTTGATTTTTGTCTGTGGCTCAGATTCCATTAAAAAAATTCAGGGTGCCTCAAGTCAATGGGCTGCACTTTTCACACACACATACACCCAATGCGGAAAAGCTCTTTATACCACTTCAGGACGGTTCCAGTTAGAAAGCTAATATGATCCCTTTTTTAACCTCCTCTCCTAAATTAGTTTAAAGATTAGTCCCATATAATAGGCTTTATGTGGCTAAGCATTAAACGACTATCCATCAAATAGATATATTCTAGCATTTAGTAACTCATATGAGTAACCGATATAAATGAAGATAAAATTGACATTCTTTTTGAAGTGTCTCCAGGCTTAAGCTATAACTTTTCTTGTCTGCGTTCCAGACTCAGTTGTGAGAAGGCTGTTTATACTGCTCTTTGAAAAATCAACTAAGGTGCACCAGCTGAAATATCCTTGCTTTGCCTGCCAATATGAAAGTTATTTTTAGAATGATGACTATGCTAGTTTGCACTGCTCTAATCTAGGCTGAAAATTGGAGGATCTAGTTGTGTCTGGTACTCACAAAAGGAAAAGTACACACTACGAATAAGGCATCAGTATTTACTTCAAAGATCAACATTAGGTGGAATTAATAAGTAATTTATTTGTTAATAATGGCATAATTAGTTTACCCATCAAATTTCAATTACCAAATGGCAGGCAACAGTCCCTTTCCCTCCTTTCCGGAGCTACTGATATCGTTAATATGCTAATTTTTAGCAATTCAGAAATTATAGATTGTTCTGTAAATATAACTCTAGTCTCAGCTACAGCCTGAAAAAGCAGCATCCAAAAGAGAAAACAAAATTCTTAGCTGGAAAAGACCCCTGGGGATCAGATCTGGCAAAGGTCTTATTCTATTTTAAGCTTGCTGTTATTTGGGGATTGTTCTGAAATAGGAAGTTATTTGTTTAAAAGCTCGGTTTTATGGAAGTGTTGCTTCTATCCATTCTTATCCTTGAGCCGTCGTCTGACTGCACAATCGCACTTCGTCAACTCAGGCATGTTTAGTTCTTAGGTCGACCCCTCCATCAAATAAGATGCTATTAGAAAGGTGGGTTTTGTTTTGTTTTTAATAAGGTAAAAACAAAACAGACTGTCTTAAAAGGAAACAAATAAGAAATGTCTGTCTGATTACACTAAAAAGGCTTCGCTGTTCACCCCTGTGTAGATTTCTCAGCTACACACCCAATCTTTGCAGCTCCTTCTCAAAATAGGGACGAGTCAGCAGAGTGTAGGAAAGGAATATGCGGGTGGGAAAATTTGTCGGTCGGCCACGTTCGTTTTATTCCAGGGCCATGTTAAAAAACAGGATGCCCCTTGGTGTCGACGCCTTTTCCCTCCCGCAGCGGGCCTCGAACCTTGGAGGACGCGGGGCCTGACTGGGCTGGAAATCAGCGCTGAGTCTGCCCTGGGGCCTAGGCTAGAAGTAGGGCATTCGCGGGGCCCAGGGGAGCTACAGCCTGACAGGCCCTGAATTCCCTGCGGTAATCCAAATTGGGGGGCTGGAGGACTGAAGCTCCTATTCACTCCCCCTCCCTGGGCCGGACAGTGGCATCCATCACCCACCCGCGCGTTTCCTGATCCGGGTCCGCGCGCGCGGCGCGC